GTGGGAGCCCATCCACAGCACTACGTCTCCTAGACCGCTGGTCTGGCGGCTCTAACGCCTCCTGCTTTTGTGCCAGCCCGGGACTCTTGCTCGCGGCAGCCACAGAATTTACCGAAGAATCCTCTGGCCGCCACAGACCTGCTCCGGGACCTCTGCCCGCCCCACACAGGACCCGGGCGCAAAGCGACGCCAGGTGGCCTTGTTGAGCCGGGGACCTACCTGGAAGTGCGGGCTGGACACACACTTGGCCAGCTGCCTGAACAGGGGCTCCATGACCTTCACGAACTCGGAGGGCTCGATCACATCCAGTATTTCCTCCAGCTCGTTCAGAAACATCACCTCCTTGGGACCTCTGCCCGCCCCACACAGGACCCGGGCGCAAAGCGACGCCAGGTGGCCTTGTTGAGCCGGGGACCTACCTGGAAGTGCGGGCTGGACACACACTTGGCCAGCTGCCTGAACAGGGGCTCCATGACCTTCACGAACTCGGAGGGCTCGATCACATCCAGTATTTCCTCCAGCTCGTTCAGAAACATCACCTCCTTGGGGCTGTGCGTTTTCGGCCAGAACTTCAGCAAGCCCACGATCACCTGAGCAGGTACGGAGAGGAGTTTGGGAGCGGCGTGCCAAGTGACTGGCACTGCTGCCTAGCACCGCCAGCCCCAGAAACGGCCCCCGCACCAGGGCCCGCGCACACGGACAGACGCATTGGGGGCGGCACCAATCACTAGCTCTGTCACCCCCCGCCCTGCAGCTCTGCCTCCGGAGACCCGCCACCAGTCCAGAGGCCTCGCATGGCTCTGTCCCCAGAGCTCAGGAGGGCGTCAGCTCAGCCTGCTGTCAGCAGGGCGGCGAGTTGCCTGGCACAGGGGGGGGCACGCCCTTCCCTGACGGAGGGAGCGAGAGGTGGGGCAGGAGGCGGCCTATTCCCGAAGACGAGTGTGGGACGACTGCAGCTGGAACGTGCACACAGCGGAACGCCGGCAGGCTAGTTGTCAGCGCACAGCTGTGCCAGCTCCGGTGCAAAACAACCTACGTGGCCGACATTCGCCATTACCGTCGTCTGTGTGCGTGAGCCAGCAGCCCTCTGCCAGAGCCGGGCCTGCGTGGGACAGAGCCACGAAGGGGTTTCTCCGCACTCCGCCCAGCCAAGCAGCCTTTGCTCCTCCTTCCCGCCCTCTGGCACGCCAGCATTGCTCTGCGTAGCGGGACTGCGGGCCGGCCGCACCACACCTGGGCCCTGCTTGTGCCCAACACCGAACTGCAAAAATGCCTGCAGCAGCACCCCCACATGGAGGCAAACTCCCCCGTCAGGATTCAGTGTTTTGGGGGAGAGCGGGCGGGAGGGGATATGCTAATGAGGCCCCAGCGGCTGGGTAAAACAAAGCCCAGCCCCTCCACAGGAGATGCTCCCCCAAGGCTAAAGAGCCTTTCTGGTCTCCAGTTTCCACCCCCCTCCCAGGGTCTAGTGGTCTGAATTGAGACTCAAATACCCACAGCCCCTATCAACTTTTGCAGGTTCCTGTGGCAGTCTGATTCCCAAGCAGCGTCTCAGGGCAAACCCTGTGGAGCCGGAAGGGGAGCTGCCAGGAGAGAGGGGCTTTGCCTTCTGCTACGGCAGGGCTGGACTCACACACGACAGACACTCCTAGCTGTGCTCCCCTTGCCCACTTCTTGTTTCAAAGCCCAGCCTGCTCAGACCCCAGCGCCTGGCTGGCTGGGCACAAGACGCGGACCGAGTCCAGCTCCATGCGTGTGACATGCCAGGCGACCGCTCTCAGGCTGCAGGCCAGTTCCAGGGAGCAACCCAAACCATCTTATGCCAGGCCTGTCTGGAGCAGACTTGGAGTAACAGGACCGACCTTGTGGCGTGAACTCGGGCCGTGGCAGACGTGCCAAAGGCAAGCAAGGGGACTCACCGGTTCCGTCAGGCTGCTGTCCTTCTCCAAGAACTGCACAACGCAGTACGCCAGCTGCAAGGAAACAGCGCCCCGTCAGAATGCCCTTTGGGCTCAGCAGACAGCAAGTGGCAAGCACACGCCAGGCAGAAGCAGCCAAGGGCTGTGGCAAGCGCAGGCCAAATCAGACCTGCTCCACTGTGCGCCTGGCAACCTGCAGCAGCTCAAAGCCGCCGTGACGGACAGCGAACGGTGAGCTTGTCTCTGCTAGGCCACGCAGAAGAGCCCTGGGCTTTGGGAGCCTGAGTTCTGCCCTTCGTGTTGCACAGGGGCAGTCCGTGGCCACATGGTCTCACTAACAAAACTGCAGAGAGGTAGCTGAGCATCTGCGGCTGGTAGGGACCATAGCGATCATTCAGCCCGGCCTCCTGCCTAACACAGGCCACGGGGTGTCCCGGAGCAAAGCCGGGCCGATCTCTTAGAAAAACATCCCCTCTCCAGGGGCAAACTGCCGGGGAGGAGCCGGGCAGCGGGAGAGCTCTGCCTGCTCAAACGCACGGCAGGGAAGTAACAGGAAGCGAGAGCGCGTCACCCTTCAGAGCTGGGACTTGCTCACACCCGTTTCCTCACTACGGATCTTGCCTCCACATTGGTCTAAGCCAGCGTTTCCAACTGGTGCTCCGTGGAACCCCAGGGTTCTGCTAAGCGAAAGAAAGGGTCCCCCCACCCCCTCTTACAGAGACAGAGCTTTTTTGCGTCAGGACTCTTCTTTTTTTTTTTTTTTCTTGATAAAAGCAGCAGTGGGGGGGGGGGGGGTCCCCCCCCCCCTCTTAATATCTCCTTCCCCCTCCCACCTGGGCTGTGGTGCTTAGATGCGCTAGGGATTCATATTATTATTTACTTCTTTTGAGGTAGGGCTAAATTTCACTGTGCTACGCACAGCACAAAAAGATGGACCCTGGCACAAAAGAGTTTACTGTTCAATTGGGCCTGTTGTGGGGGGGGGGTGGGGGGGGGAACCCTAAGGGTTCCATGGCCAAATAAAATTGGGAAACACTGGTCTAAGCACTCACGGGGGTGGGGAAGTGACCTTCAACTCCGCACACACGGGCAGCAGTGAGTAGCGGATGAGGCCCAGTGAAAGGTATTTAGGCGCTGCTGCACTCAGTATTGCAATGCCTCCCTGATTTAGGAACCTAAACCTGAAGTAGTTTAGGCACTCAGGAGGCTGCTCAGTCAGCCAGGCCCGGCAGTCTGGGTGCAGCAGTGCCGAAAGACCCGTATGAACCTGGGCTGAAATCCCCCAATGGCTGGAGCGGAACAAGTCTCACGCTGTCCTGGAGCAAGAGGCAGGAGTGAAGAGGCCAGGGGCGGACAACTCAGAGCCCCGCTGGGTGTCGGGGGGCGACTGTGCGGAAGCCAGAATCCCCCCAGCAAGATTTGGGTGAGCCAAGCCTGGGGCGGCTGTAAAGAAGCCCAAGAGTTTGCAGTCTGGGGTGACTGACCTGCGGGTGGTAGACACTCAGCGATTTCACCTTGTGCAAAGGTAGCAAGACACGGATGAGGAACATCTTGTGCTCTTCCTTCAGAGGCAGCGCAAACCCGTTGATTATACTGAGGAGGAGAAAGGAGACGCGTTACGGGGTCAGGTGTTGCTGAGCATGCACCAGGGCAACCCCGGCACAAAACCAGCCCCACGCCCACACAGCACACTGATGCCGCCAGGAAGCACCTGGCTTCAGGGCTACAGTCACTAGGGCCCCAGCCCTAGGGCGCTCTGCAAAGGTGCCCCGCGAGCACATTCCCAGCAAAGGAAGCCCAATCACATGCAGGGAGGGAAATCAGGGGGAGCTGGCCCTTTAAGAGGGTTGGCGCTCAGCTGCCCCCATGCCGCCCTTGGCTCCAGGAGGAGATGAACGCTGCAGTGACGTGTCAGGGCCTGCTGGGGCGTCTAACGAGATGGCTTGGGGTGAGCATCCCTGGCAGTTAATGCTTTTCAAAAGAGCAGGAGGCGGCCCTGGGAAGGAGACACGGGAGTATGGCTGACGCAACAGGGCAGAAAGCCCAGCCCTACGGAGATCTCTGGGCTGGGCTGCCACCTAGGCAGGCGGGGGCAGGTCCTGCAGGTGCTGCCCCCTGGCACGGTGAGGCAGTGACCTCTGCCCCAAAGGATAGGGAGAGCATGAGCAGAGCCCAGCAGAGAGGTGGAGCTGGGAGAGTGGCTGGGGAAGGGAAGATGGGCCCTTGGGAAGGAAGGGCTGTGCCCAGTCTGGGGAGGAGCACTCTCTACTTGTGTGCCTGGACTCTCGCACCTTAGAAGGAACAGACTTCTGTAAATGAGCTGGAGGGCTAAGTCCGCTGGAAGGATGAGAACAGAACAACCACCAAAGGTCCATCCAGCCCAGTGTCCTGTCTCTGAGTGGCCAATGCCAGGGGCCCCAGCGGGAACGAACAGAACAGGGAATCATCTATCCACGGTTGCCCATTCACAGCTTCTGGCAAACAGAGGCGGGGGACCCCATCCCTGCCCAGCCTGGCTCACAGCCACTGATGGACCTAACCTCCATGAATCTATCTAGCTCTTGTTTGAACCCTGTTAAAGTCCTGGTCTTCACAACGTCCTCTGGCAAGGAGTTCCACAGATAGACTGGGCATTATGTGAAGAAATACACCCTTTTATATTTGTTTTGATCCTGCTACCTATTAATTTAATTTGGTGATCCCTAGTTTTTATGTTATGGAAACAAGTAAATAACTTTTCCTTATTTACTTTCTCCATGTCTGTTAGGATAGAGATCTATAAAACCGTATCTCCCCTTAATCTCCTCTTCTGGAAACTGAAAAATCCCAGTTTTAGTAATCTCTCCTCATACAGTAGCCATTCCAAATCCCTAATCATGTTTGTTGCCCTTTTCTGAGCGTTTTCCGGTGCCAATATATCTTTGAGCTGAGGTGTCCACATCTGCAGGCAGTATTCAAGATATGCATGCACCAGGGACTTACACAGAGGCAATCGGATATTCTCTATCCCTTTTTTAAGTATTCCTAGCATTCTATTTGCTTTTTTGACTGCTGCTGGACATTGAGCAGATGTTTGCAGAGAACTATCCCCAGTGACTCCAAGATCTAACTTTGTCCCCATCATTTCATACGTATAGTTGGGATTATGTTTCCCAATGTGCAGTACTTTGCATTTATCAACGTTAGAATTCATTTGCCATTTTGTTGCACAGCCACCTACTTTTGTGAGATTCTTTTGAAGCTCTTCACAGTCTGCTTTGCACATAACTATCGTAAGCAGTTTAGTCTCCTCCTGCAAATTTTGCCACCTCACTGTTTACCCCTTTTTTCAGATCATGTATGACTATCTTGAATAGTATTGATCCCGGTATGGACCCCTGAGACACCACTAGTTACCTCTCTTCATTCTGAAAATTGACCATTTATTCCTTCCCTTTGTTTCCTGTCTTTTAACCAGTTCTCAGTCCATGACAGGACCTTCCCTCTTAATCAAAGTAAGCTGTCATGGGATAAGAGCCTTTGGTGAGGGGCTTTGTCAAAGGCTCTCTTGAAATCGGAGTACACTGGAGTAGGGATGTGAGGGCGTAATCGCCTAGTCGACTACCCGATAAAACTAGGCTTATCAGGTAAAGTCAACTACCTGCATTCCCACCCCCCTTGCTGCCTCTGTTTCAGAGGCAATGCGGGGAAGGCAGGACAGAAGCCAGTGCTGGGGGGAGCCGGCAGCAGCCCCTGCCCCCCGAAGCTGCCTCTGGTAGAGGAAGCAGTGCGGGAGAGGCGGCACCACAGGCTCTGCATTTAAAATGTAGGAGGAGCCTGGCAGGCAACCCAGCTCAGTCCCGGCTCATGCCAGGCCCACACCCCGCTGCAGCGCTGCAGTTTAAAAAGCAGTAGGAGCTGGGGGGGGAGAGGGGGAGCAGGCTGCTCAGCTCCTACTGCCTTTTAAATCGCACCTGGGGCGAGCCGGGACTGAGCCAGGCTGCCGATCGACTCATTGATAAAAATTCTATCAACTACCCAATTAGTTAAATACCTGCCTCTTTATATCCACTGGATCCCCTCTGTCCACATGCTTCTGAGCCCCTCAAGGAATTCTAGAGCAGTGAGGCATGACTTCCCTTTACAGAAACCATGTTGACTTTTCCTCAAACTACGCTCATCTGTGTGTCCGACAATTCTGTGCTTTACTATAGTTTCAACCAATTTGCCCAGTACTGACATTAGGCTTACTGGTCTGTAACTGCCAGGATCACCGCTAGAGCCCTTTTTGAAAAGTGGTGTCAGATTAGCGATCTTCCCATCATTTGGTACAGAAGCTGATTGAAAGGGTAGGTTCCAAACCACAGTTATTAGTTCTGCAATTTCCCATTTGAGTTCTTTCAGATCTCCTGGGCGAATGCCGTCTGATCCTGTTAAGTGTATCAATTTGTTCCAAAACCTCCTCTAAGGACACCTTAATCCGGGACAATTCCTCAGATGTGTCACCTAAAAAGAATGGCTCAGGTTTGGGAATCTCCCTAACACTCAGCCATGAAGACCAATGCAAAATTCATTTAGATTCTCTGCAGTGACCTTATTGTCCTCAAGTGCTCCTTTAGCATCTCAATCATCCAAGGGCCCCAGTGGTTATATAGCAGCCTTCCTGCTTCTAATGTACTTAACGAATATTTTGCTATTACTTTTTGAGTTTTTGGCTAGTTACTCTTCAAATTCCTTTTTGACCTTTCTAATTCTAGGTTTTCACTTCACTTGTCAGAGTTTCTGCTCCTTTCTAGTTTCCTCACTAGGATTTAACTTCCACTTTCTAAACGATGGCTTTTTATCTCTCACTGCTGCTGCTTTTACTTGGCCGGTAAGCCACGGTGGCACTGGTTTGGTTTTCGTATTATGTTTTGTAATTTGGGGTCTCTATTGTCTTTGAAAAGTCTCCATGCAGCTTGCAGGGATTTTACATTTGGTTCTGGACCTTTTCATTTCTGTTTAGCTAACCTCCTCGTTTTTGTGTTGTTCCCCTTTCTGAAATTAAATGCCACAGTGTTGGGCTGCTGAGGTGTTTTTCCCACCACAGGGATGTTATAATTAAATGACATTACGGTCCCTATTTCCAAGCAGTCCAGCTACAGTCACCTCTTGGACCAGATCCTGCGCTCCTCTAGGATAAATCAAGAATTGCATCTCCTCTTGAGGGCTCCAGAACCAGCTGCTCCAAGAAAGATCCAGTTAAGGCAGGGGTAGGGAACCTTTTTGGGTCGGGCCGCTGACCCACAGAAAAATCAGTCGGGGCCACATGCAAGTTAGAAGTAAAAAAGAAAAAACAACCCCTGACTGACATGGCTCCTGATTGAGGAGGAGAAAGACTCTCCACACATTTCCCTCGCACACCAGAACCTAGAGGGGCCCAAGGCCAGTAGATCCCCCATTGCTGGGCGGGACCTCCGAGCCTCGAGGGCCGGATCCAGGCAAGCCAGGGGTTGCATCTGGCCCCCGGGCCTCAGTTTCTGACACCTTAAATCAGGGGCGGGGAACCCATCTCTACATCCTAGAAACTGAGGCAGCAGATGGACCCGACAGCAGATTGGGTAAGCTCCTGCTACACCAGACCATACACTGGGCTTGCTCGAAGCCCTGGGTCTAACGCAGCAGGGGTGACATGCCCTTACCTGCCCAAGATCTCCAGCAGCTCTGCAATCCCATTGTGATGCTCCGTTTCATAGATAAACCTGAGAAAAAGGGACGAGGATGGGAGAGGAGTCATTGCCTGGCACAGGACACAGCTCAGCAGGGAGAAGGGGAGCATCTCTGAGCACCTCCCAGTAAGAGAGGACGGAGGATTCAGGGAGAGGACGGTATTGGCCACGCCGCATGACGTGCTACACGAGGGAGGGTAAGGGATCGGCCCCAACGGAAGGGTGGGCTGCTTGGCAGCACGATGGGGGAGGAAAGCCCGACCATTTCCTACATCAGGCAGAGACTTGCTGTGCTGCCCAATCCTCACTACCCTTGTGCCACAAGGAAGTACTGTCCTCCCGTCCGGAGCCAGGACCTGACAGAAGGAATGGGCCGGCTGGGCTTCCCCGCGCTGCTGGGCCTGGCAGAGTGGCTCACCTGTAAAATATGTTGTTGATCTGCCGCCTCACATACGCTCGCAGGCCCAGGAACTTCCCGTAAATCCGGTGCAAGATGGTCTTCAGGAAGTCTCGCTCCCTGGGATCTTCGCTGTCAAACAAATCCAGCAGCTGCGGGTGGCAGGGACGTTAGATATCGATGAACTGAATAATTGTGTAACAGCATCAAAACGTAGTGGTTACATGATTATTTGGTAGTCCTGGGAGGGGGGAGGGATGGGGGGAGGCTGGCAGCCAGCGCGCTCCTGGCCCCACTCCCGGGAAGGCCCCTGCCACCCAGCACTGCTGCCTCTGTATCGGAGGCAGCAGCAGCCCCATCTGCAGGGGGCTGAACTCCCCACAGACAGGAGCTATGCTGGAACCCCAATGAGCAGCCTCTGTCTGCAGTGAGCCTGGGCCTGCCATGGACAGAGGCTGCTCCCCCCACGCTGCTGCCTCCCCACGATCAGGCACGTTTTGCGTCGCTAGCAGCTGCTCAGGCTCCTGCAGCAGAGCCAGGCTCCTGAGTCGCAGTGCAGACGTCTGCCTCGCCTCATGCGGTTCCTCCCGCAGGCCAGCTGTAGGGCAGGGCCACCCTGGCTCCTCTCCCTGCCCCCAGGGCCCTTCTCTTGGGAACAAGAGTCTAGAGTGCTTCAAAGACAGCGACCCAGCCCTGAGCACCCCCCAGTGCTCCCCCGGCGAGGGCAGAAAGGAAGGCCGAGCTGCCTCCTACGTACCCCTCTGACAGGGCCATGGGGCCGCTTGGGCAGCGGTTTGCAGCAGGCCGGCCAAAGGCCCCTTCACACAGGCGGGGGGAGGGGCAGCTAGAACTACTTACTGACAATACAAACTTCTGGTCAATGTATTTCTTGGCTACATTTGGCTGAAAGTCGGGCGACTCCAGGAACCGCAGGAAGAATTCATACACCAGCTGTGGAGAGCAAGGGTTGGGTTTTTTGAAACAAGCTTTACTTAATTCTTCATGTTTTACGCCCGCCAGCCATGTTCCTTTTCCCACGCGATCTGTAAAAGGCTAAAGATGCACCAGGCGGCTTGCTACAGCTGGAGCCACCGGTGCGAATGTGCCAGGGAACAATTCACCGTTTAATGTGCTCACAGGGGAGACGTTTTCCGAGCCCAAGCCCCACCCCTACGCACACTGCACCAACGGGTGATTACCCCACACGGTTACAAAACTGCGAGCTCACTTCAGCTCGGTGTCTGCTAGTTCAAACAGCCCTCTGCTAAGAGATAGCATCTCTGTGCGTGGGCACTTGCAGAACCTGATCTGATCAAGTGCTCTGAGCCGGCTCTCGGTGCTGTTACTGGGTGACTTTTTATTGCTGCTTCCCCCACCCTTTCCCCAGCTTCCCGTCGGCAGCCCTGTCCACGCCCGAGGGACTCTGAGTCTTTGCCCCCGCCTCTCTCCTGAAGGGTTTGTCCCACTCGGCTTGGCTCAGAATGATTTTTGGCCGTGGAAGCGTTAAGTCAGCGGGCGGGTGTCCAAGCACAGCTCTCATGGGACCGAGGGGCCCACCCAGTGAGGAGGCCTGAGCCACCTGGGGAGGCAGCAGCAGCGCTGGCTCCCCTCCCTCAAGGGAGCAGCCTCTCACCCTCTTGGGCCAGAGGGATGGAAGCAGGGGCCCAGGGCTTCTGAGAGAGGAAAAAAATAAAGGGGGATTCCCAAGGGTGCCAGACCGGCTACACTCCTTGGGCGAGCCATTCGTTCCCAGCCCACGCCAGCACAAGGTGGCACTTGCTCCCAGCAGGCTGCCGAATCCAAGGCCTCGCTTCCTAAGCTGACCCCCCCACCCCAGGAAAAGGAGGGTAAAAGTATCTGCAGGGAGAGGGAAAGCCCAGTCCCCCCCTCCCCCTCCTGCCTCTCGCGTCTATCCCCTGGCCAGGTGGCGTCCCGCTGCACTGAGGCGCCATGCCCTGGAGAGGAGGCTGGCAGCCTCTCTCTTACCTGGAGGTGCGGCCAGGCAGCTTCCAGGGTGGGTTCGTCCTCCTCGGGGTCAAACTCCGCTCCCGTTGGGTTGGACGAGGGGGGCAGAGTCCGGAAGAGGTTCACTGAAAACTGAGGTGAGCGAGAAGGCGGATGGGTGATCCTTCCATGCCGTCCCTTAGGTCACCGACACGGGCATTCCCCCAGGGCCCAGGGCCCCGCCGGAGGCCAATGAGTTACAGCTTCCGGGCTGACCCCCGACCCCTCCAGCGCTGCGTGTGCTGCGCACAAACACCCTTGGCTGCTCTGTGCCCACCTGGTCCCCATCCTCCGAGCACACCCACCAGTCACTCTCTGCATGGCTAGGGAGGGTCCAAAGGGGTCAGGGTGCCATGTTTCCCCCAACCAAGTTACTCTTCCTCTCTCCAGCTGCCCACGATTACGCCCCTCGCTACTTCCAATGCCCAGGCATGCAGACAGAAGCCTCTGGCACCTGCTGAGGGGCGCCCACTGAAAACCGGCCACGCTCCTACCATGATGACCGCTTCCGGGTAGATGGCCTCGGTGACGACGTCCCGGTTGTGCGTGATGTACTCCACCATCTCATTGAGACCCGCTCGCTTCACCTCCTTGAACTTCAGGTCGCTGAGCGGGTCGGAGATGAAGTCGAAGAGGACGCAGCATTGTCGCAGCTTCTGTATGAAGAGCTCCTCTCGCTCGTGGAGGGGAGCATCTGGCAGGGACAGCGGAGCAGGGAAAAGTTTCGAGCGCCTCCCTACACTGCGTACGCAGCCCCCATTGCTGCCAGCCCCAAGGGCCCCGGCGTGCACGGTGCCGATCCTCCTGGGGGCAGGGCTCTTCCCGCTCTACACACGGGGAACTAAGGCTCCGACTCAGAAGCCCTTGTCTGCACTGGAAAGGGTTACCCCTTATACAGATCTAGTTATTCTAACAGCCCCCCCCCCCACGTTTGGGGACA